AATATCACGATGTTTTACTATCATGATATTAAATTTTTTCATTCGACGTACCTGTCCGTAGCAGATGCAGAGCTTTAAATCGTAACTATCTGAGGGTCAATGCGGCTGACACCCTGAGATATACAAAAACAAATATCCTTTAGTGCCACAATGACATTTTTTGACATAAATAACATGTTAAGCCAAAACAAACAACCAATAAACGGTAGGCCAAACATGTCAGGGGCAATAAGAGGTGTCTCAGCTTGTGCAGCCTGGAACCGTTGTTATCGCAGACAGCGCTGTTTTTCAGAAACCTCCTTGTCTCTAAGATCTTAGGCTTTAAAATTTGAAAACCGTTATTCTATATTATTAAATAATTCAATATTATTATTATAAACAGCATTTGATTTTTATAACTAGAGTTTAAATTTTGGTAATTTTGTGGCCAAATCAAACCCACGTAAAATTATCAATTGTTAGACAACATGAATTAATGCTTACTGCGCAAATTATTGCACAGTAAGCAGTTTGAAAGTCACAGCCATTTTAAATTAAAAAAAAAAGTTCAATCACTGTCCTGTAGAATTTGATTTAGTGCAGATACGCTCTTTTTACAAATGTGTGCATACGTGGATTCGCACTATTAAATTGACAAGCAGTAGGGTAATGCTCATATTACTGCTTAAAGAAGATATCCATAATATTAACCTTAGAGCTAAGTCCAAACTTATGGTACCACGTTTCGATTTAACAAAGGTAAACAACTCTTTTATGGGGAACTGTATACGTTTTTACAATAAGATTCCGGAGCATATATTAAGTTTATAATTTCCTAAGTTTAAAAACTACATTAAAAATATTTTGATCGAAAAATCATATTACAAAATTGAAGACTACGTGTTAGATAAAGATGTATGGAAAGACAACATGGCTCCAGAATCCACACAAATTTGATTCAAAGTGCATTCCATAGAATTTAAGTTTATTTGAAAAGAGCCATCCCTAGAGTTTCTTGCTTGTTCTTCTCAGGGAGGTCAGCGTAGTGAACGAGCAGTAGCTTAAATGTGACATTTTCAAGTGTAAATTTATTTTACCTATGGAATAAATAATCTTTGACTTTGACTTTGACTTTGCTTGGCGACAGACATAGGTAAAGTGGTAGTACTTACTTCCCCGAACGGATTCTTTCATTAGGACCTCTACTGCTACTTAAAATTCAATAATATTATTCTACATCTACTTATACATAGTTTTGTAGTAATAGAGCTCCTTGTGAAAGAGTTCGTCCAGAGAAGTACTGTCAGCATTACTGTGTTCCGGTTTTGAAGGGTAAGGGTGCTGGTGAAATTACAGGCACATGGGACTTGTCAACTTATGACTCAGGGTGACGGGCGCTGTGGCAGTGCCCCTTCGTCTTTGCGATTTAAAGCTCTGAGTGGCACTGCAAATGTTATAGACAGGCGTTTCGCTTACCATCAGTCTTAATGACTTGTTCGTGCCGTCACTTGATATTATAAAAAAAAGATGTTTGTTGTTGATGAAACTGGGGTAAAAAAAAACAAATGTGTTACCTAATTATTGTAATGTTGATTTATTGTTTTTATAATTTATTCTGATGTTAAAAGATATCTTACATAAATAACAATGTATAAAATTCATTTAAAATAAATACATTTTCTAATATTCTATTTATCACTATAAAACAAATATAAATCACACATGCTTTTCTAGCAATATGGCTTCTATTGGTCCTAGGTTTTAAAATGAACTAGCTGACTGAGTTATAAAAATTGTTTTAAAATTTACTCTAAATTGCTATGCCAATGGACCAAATGACCCAAGAGGAATGCTTATCTCCAAACAGATTGTAACAAAGGTCAAAGTTCCGTTTTATAACCTAGATGGCGCTGATCAATAGAACTCTTTAATAAGAAATTTAGGTGGTCTGTTTATTTCTCATTATTCAAATAATGATCTTGAGCTATAGAAAAATAATTTTCTAAACTTTAACAAATATGCGTATCAATAGAATTAATGGCATTTTGTGTTAAGCCGGGTACTCACTAGCAAGCTGTAACTGTAACCGTTGCGTGTTATGTAACCAAACATCATGTAAAACAAAATGGACGTAACTGTGTATCATAAATGTAGTTTTTTGGCAATTAGACCCGACAGGTAGTCAAATTTTAAAATTTCAACTATTATGCCGCCTTAAATACTTAATTACACTACACGGACCCTGACTTAAGGGTGGGCATGGCCCCGAGTTAAGGCGCCGCTTATATTATGGACTGTAACTATTACATAAGCTATTATCTGAAGTCCATCATTATGTTTAGGTTTTTGCGATTGCATACACATTGGAAATGATTGTACGCTCCATAAATGACATATCTACTACGTGGAATCTTTTTCTTTTAAGTAATGCTAACATTCCCACTTATTGATAATTATGAAAACATATTTTATTATAGATATGTCTAATTTCTTACTAATCTCACAATTTTCTTGGACGGAACACGTTATTAAAACTATGTGGTTATTGAAGAGCACGATATGAAACTTACAACTTCACATTGTTGCACCTACGCGGTGAAACTAAGACTTAACTGCAAACAATAAGAATGCGAGAATTATTTAACAATGACACACATTCCGCATTCATTGATTATGCCATAGAGGGCGCAATGCTTCTAAAAACATTTAAGAGTTCAAATGTACATACTCAGTAGCCCTAAAAACAAAAAAAAATCTGTATTTTTTTACAAATGTAAGATACGACACTATTTTACCGGAGGTGCGGTGTTTCTAGTAACAGAGCACACCATAACAATGAAAGTAAATTAATTTGCTACTGCGCGAACTTAGTGAAGATTAAATCGTGCAAAATACCTGCGCTTGTGTTGAATATTTTATCATTCAGTTAATTGTCCTACCCTCCCTCCGCATAAAATTAATAACACAAGCGCAACTACAGTCAGAAACCACACCAAAAATATACCCGACACGTGTTTCGCCTCTCCACGAAGCATCCTCAGGACGGTAACGAGGGTCGAGCACTCAACATCCCCTGACGGTCCCGAAAAGTATGCGAAGACCTGGCTCAAAAGACTTATATCAAGTCAAAAATCGTAATAAAAAAATAAAGATACATGATGATTTTAACGGCTAGGAACCGCGGTAGAACGTATCCTAATGATAATTGCTATACTTTTATTTTTATTGAATATCACGATGGTTTGACTACCATGACACTTATTTTTTTTATGAAAATGCTCTGATAGTTTGTTATTATCACAGATTGGCGCTACGGCTTTGAATTGGTTTAAAACCAAAACAAAAATCTGCAACAAACACATATAGAATCTCAAACAATTTGCTGGCTCGATCCGTAGTATAACTGGCTAAGCGGTAGCCACGTTGAGGTAAGCAGTCGCTGGTTCTCGTCTAATCTTTGTATTAATAATAATTAATAATAGTTGTCAAAACAGAAAACATACAGAGTTGATGCTTGTTGATGAACCGAACGGTATCGTAATCTATGGGAGGCTGTGGTCTATTTATATTAATTACTTAGTCATCAATTACCTTCAATCTATGAACCAAGTATAATGTAGCTCAGCCCTTTGAATAGCAAAGAACCGACATAAATAATTACTATAAAAGACACCAGTTTCAATATTTGATGCATGTAGAATAATCTGAAAAAAAGAAAAAGAATATTTATGAAACAAATAATTTATTTATATCACAATATACAAAGTGGCGATCGTAGTCTCTGCCTATTCCAATAGAAATCCAAAGATGGTGAATATATCTTATAGGATGGAAAGAAAATTAATACAATATGTACTTAGGTACCTACATAGCGCTACGACTAAAAAGTCGTTGAAAGACCAAGTACAAAGACACGACACAAGCACATAGAAAAATTCGTGAGGTCCGTTGTTTCGTTCCGTGGCTTAGTTGGTATAGCGTCTGGCACGGTATGCAAGA